GAAACGCTACTGCCCCCCTCCCCACTTCTGAAAAGGCGAGACAAAGAAAACTTTAAAACGAGATCTTCGGAAATATACAAATTTCCAAGAAGCAGTTCAGACACACGAACAAAAAATTGCACTTATTCTCAGCAGAGTCATAAATTAGGAGGAACAAAAAAAACCATGCAACAACAGGCAAGTCACGCTTTTATTTGCACGTTACTTAATCGTTAATTATGCAGCGAATCGGTATCGTGTGAGGCGCACGCGTGTACGCGAGCGGTCGCGGCGCGGGTGTCCGTCGGAGCAACCGATACTATTTTGTTGACAAGCAAATTTTCCACTTCATTTTTTGTCTCAACTGCAGAAAAAACAATAAAAAGATCAACATTAATTCTCACCTCTGCATTGTAAAATTTGGTCTTCACGTCGATGGGCTTGCTAACGGGGAATTTAATGAATTTCCGAAAATACATCTTTTCATCAGAAGACGTCTTGTAGTTCACGGAGCAGATCAGGCTGAAAATTCTCGGACTTTAGTGATACACACCCTTTTGTTGTCATGGAAACATGACTGTTAGAATCCGCAGAAAAAAAAGAATGGCTAGAGCTTTGTAGCGATGAAATGAAAGCTGCGGAAAAGCATCACAAATATTCTGACGCGAGATGATGTTCCCATCTATTCAAATTGAATATTGATTCAAAGTGATACCGCCCATGGTACCAGGGTTGATGGAATTCAAACAATATGTGATGTTCGTATTGTTGGGATTAAAAATCAGCCGTCTGCTGAACAAGCCGCCAGCGATTTTTTTCGTCCAAGTGGATATCATATGACACAGCTTTCGGATCGGACTGAGATTCAGAGATGCTGCGGCTCAAAAAAAAGCGCTACTTACATATGTTGGCCAATTTCCTTGACTTCATGAGTGATAATTTGACCCGAGCATTTTCCACCTTCCAAAACAACGTCGTGAATGTTCGAGGCTAGACTCACTCTTTGGCTATTCGTTTGCAGATCGCACTGAAAAGAAAATGCGATTCATCGTATCAGTATTCATGGACGCTTTTCATTTCTGTTCTACATCATCTCCATTCCCCACCCCATTGCCCGTTTTTCGCTGTTAGAGAAAAAAGAAGCACTGTCACTACAGCGCTGCTAAGAATAGTCGTTTGGCTAGCGTCAACCGCAACGAAGGCCACTTGCCGGGGGATAGGGCAAAAAGACACCTCATCTATGGCACGCACCATCACAACTTACGCCCGACAGGGTCGAAAGACACACGACCTAGGGTGAAATATTTCTGAGTTTTGAATCCTTGAGAAGGAGCAAGCCCTTCATCTCTGCCTCAAACGTCACCAGAAGAAGGATATATACATCAGCGCTCCAGCTCAAGAAGACCGGCCTACAGTATTCACTTCGATCTGAAGCAGTTGCGCATTTCCAGAGTTAGTTCACCCGCTTGCAGATTCCTGGGAGCTATCGCTATGGTACTGTAAGACCAGAACCACGCTTCGACAACTTCCTTCCCCATGATCCAAAATTTGTGTTCGAAGACTTGGCCTTACAAGTCAAATTGAGCATCAAGCGCCCTGTCAGGCAGGTGGGATGATGGATTCAAAAGGACTTGGAATAGAACCGAGGTAAACAACAAAATCATAAAGTTATTGGCAACAGTAGCCAAACAAACATACTTTTACGGATACATCAGTGACTTTTTGATCGCTCTCATTGGTGCAGTTGACATAGAAAGTAAAGGTTTCGCCAAGATAAATATTCCTGCAAATAATATAAAAGTACACAGACAAAAATACTTAACTTTGGCATGAGCACCATCAACGTTCATTTCGCATTTACAACTAGAGGAGGTCAAACTCAAAGTTGTCAGTTGTGCGGCTCGAACAGTAATGACAAAATGGTAAGTACTGTAAAAGTGAAGAAAAGCGGATAAACCCGCCCGAAACACTCCATATCGAACCCCATGTTTACCGCGCTTGCACGTGAAATCGAAGAATGTTGGGGCCAAACGAGTTCTCACTTGTGTCAGCTCATTCTCCTTATCACTCCACTCTCATCAGTCGAAATGAAGAGAGCTAGTAGGGGAAAACAGCACTATCAAGAGCCATTAACACGTTGGCGACATTGCGTCCCACTGCTGGGACGCACCTTTTTTGCCGCGTGGGACATTGCGTCCCACTGCTGGGATGCGGCATGGGTAAAAAACCAATTTAAAAACGTTTCAAATTTTCAACAGCTACATATTGTACAGGAAGGCATTGTAGAATATACAGTAGCTGCAAAACAAGCAGTTGTGTCATTGGGAGTATTTTACGGAGGATACAAAGGAAAGTGATTTCCTTAGGAAAAAAAGGTAATTAGATAGATAAAG